AGTGCTATCACAGGGGACATCCACCTCTAAGGTCCCTCTGAGCCCTGCTCTTCAAACCTATGCAGACTGAGCACCCCATCCCTTCCTATCTCCTTTAGGAGCCTCATCCTTTATAGTGTCTTCCCTTTAGTTTCTTCCTTTCCATGTCCTCTAGCTGCAGGTGGTCGAGCGCAGGTCTCTCCTGCTTGAGCAAACCTCTTGATTCTCATTTCCCTTTTTAGTTGCTGTCTCTCTTACTTCATCCTCTCCAAACTCCAGACACCACAATTCATCGTCTGTGCCCCAAGCACTCTCTTAGCCTCCACAAGTCTGTTGAAATTGCCCATTTGTTTGCTTTGCAAATATTTACTAAATGCCAATACCCAGGTGTTGTTACTAAATGCAGCTATGTTTCAGGCAGTGGCCTAAACATTTTTACTACCATTAACTCAATGAATTCTCCCAACCCGATGAGGCAGGGACTTTATTAATTATCAGACTTGGAGGTGAGAGAGGTGAAGTAATCTGTCCACGGTCACAAGAAGGAGCTTTAAAAAAAAAAAACAAAACTAGGATTGTGACCCAGGCAGAGACTTCATTTTAACAGCTACCTGCTACTGTGCTGAAGGCTATGCGTTCTCTTTCTGAAATGTGTCCCTTCTTGTCTTTTCCTTTCTCTCTGTGCCCAGACCCTTATCTCTTGATGCCTGGATGCTATATAGCCATCCAACCGACCATAAAGGCTCCCTCTCCACCCCAGTCCATCCACCACACTGTGTTGCCTGATAATCTGCCTGAAACTTGTCACTCCTGCTGTCAAAGAATAAAATAATCTCTTTGGAAAAAGAAGACATTCACATATGAACCCTTGAGATAACCCTCTAATGACAGTAAATAAAACGAAGAGTGAGAACGAGATGAACTTGAAGATCACCTCCTTTGAAGACACTGCAGTTTTCTCAGTACAAATTATAGATGGGAGTGGACAGGGCAGGCACGAAGACCTTCAGCTTAGCGCTGAATTTGAATTAGAAGGGTTTCTGATGGTAATGGTTGGGAAGATCCTCTGGAGAAGGGAAGGGCTATCCACTCCAGTAGTCTTGCCTGGAGAGTCCCATGAAGAGAGGAGCCTGGCAGGCTACCGTCCATGGGGTTGCAAAGATTTGAACATGGCTGAGCAACTAACACTTTCACTGATGGGAATGGAGGATTTAAGAGCTGTGTACTCCAGATGCTGTCCCACAAACCCTTTCCTTGGTTAACGTTCCCTCCTGCCCCTATTGTACAAGTCTCAGTGCTGAGCTGTTTTCAAGCTTCCATTTGAAGACCTCCACCCTTTTCTGATTAAATCTCTTCTAGACAAGTATTCCCTTCCTCTACCCGGCCCCGGTTTTCAATCCCTGGATTGGGAAGATCCCCTGGAAAAAGAAATGGCAACCCACTCCAGTCTTCTTGCCTGGGAAATCCCATGGACAGAGGAGCTTGGCAGGCTACTGTCCGCAGGGATGCAGAGTCAGACACAATTGAGTGACTACACCTACCCACTTACCTACCTACTTACACGTCCCTTAGCACTTTATACAACAGGAGTGCAGGTTTAAGGAACGTCTTATCCTCGGAGCAAACAGATTAATGCCTTTGAAGAAACAGATCGAAGAAGTCACTAAGAGGCAAGAGTTTTCCACAAAAGACTTAAAGTAGTAACCTTAATGGAGTAGCTTCCAGGAATGATGTCTACTATTAGAGTGAAATTAGAGATCTAATTTCAGCTTCACTCAGTTCTTCAAGGCAGGTGCTATTTTTTTTTTTTTTAACTTTTATTTATTTGGCTGCACTTGGTCTTAGTTGCAGCACACAGGATCTTTTAGTTGCAGCACGTGGGATCTAGTTCCTTGACCAGGGATCGAACCCAGGCTCCCTGCATTGGGAGTGTGGAGTCTTAGCCACTGGACCATCAGGGACATCTCAGGGTAGGTGCTCTTACCCCATTTTGCAGATGAGTTCGTGGAGATGATTGAGGTTAAGGATCCTGTCTGAAATCCCACACTAGCAATGCAGAGCTGCCTGCACAGCCCACGCTCTTTATCTATTACACCTCCTGGGAAACACTGTTATGGGCAGGTCATTTGTTCTCCCTTCAGTTATGGTTGGAAAACCAGGAGGAAGCGCTGCATGGGAGAGTTTTGCTGCTTTGCCTGTACCAGCGTCCTCGGTGTTCAAATGGAGGGCACCTCCCAGTAGAATCTCTAAATGAGGCGGTAGCACTAGACCACTGAAGGCTGAGCTCTCCCGGGGCTGACATTCTGTGATTACTGAGCATTGTGGAAGGGTGTGTGTGGGGGGAGCTAATTGAGTGAGTTAGTAATTTGGTTGCCAGGGTAACTCTTTCCTGATTGGAAGGAAGGGATCACAGGGTTTGACACAGACTTTGCTGGATAGGAAAGTGGTGTCTGATGTACTCTCCATGTTTCTGCTTCTGAGCTGGAAAAGGAAAGAGCAAAAAAATGGTAAAATTGAATTCAAATATTGTAGCATGTATGCCTAATTTAGAATGAAATCTTGGGGTGGCAGACTTTGGAGTTATTTGTGAAGTATGGCTTTCTTTTCTCCAAATCACTTATTTGTCAATTTCTGTGTTTTAGTTTATATAGGTTTTTTTTTTTTCATTGAGCTTTGGTCTTTTATCTTACCCAGGCCATTTTCTGTGGACAGCTGTCTTCATAGGATGCTGGACGTGAGAAAATGGTTACAGCATACCTAGCTCAGCCTAGGTATCTGGGGCATGGTTTTCCATGGTTCCAATGGCAGGATCATCACATTGGATAGCTGCAGGGGTGTCAGTCACATTATAGTATATGTGAGGAGCTGTGCAGTGAACAATATCGGACTGTGTATGATGGCATCAGGCTACTGGAAAGAGGACTGGACTGAGAACCCAAAGACCTGGTTTCTGGATTCTGTCAGATATTTGACTTTGTAAATGACTTTCTGCCCTGCCCCCTTCCAACTATTTTTCCACCTATGCCACTCAGTCATGTCTGACTCTTCGTGACCTCATGGACTATAAGCTGCCAGGCTACTCTGTCCATGGGATTTCCTAGGCAAGAATACTGGAGTGAGTTGCCAATTTCCTTCTCCAGTGGATCTTCCTGACCCAGAGATTGAACCCAAGTCTCTTGTGTCTCCTGTTTTGACAGGCGGATTCTTTACCACTCTGCCACCTGGGGAAGCCCTTTTCTACCTATAAAATGGTCTAATTTTTAAAAATTATTATGTAAACCCTGACTTATCCCAAAAAAGGTCTTGGGGGTGACTAGTAAGAACTTGCAGCATTTTAAAAAATGGACAGTGACGGTTATAGGGTTGTAGTGCAGTTAAGGCTTCCCCAGTAGCTCAGCTGGTAAGGAATCCGCCTACAAAGTAAGAGACCCCAGTTCAATTCCTGGGTTGGGAAGATCCCCTAGAGAAGGGATAGGGCTACCCTCTCCTGTATCCTTGGGTTTCTCTGGTGCCTCAGACAGTAAAGCATCTGCCTGCAATGCAGGAGACCTGGGTTCAATCCCTAGGCTGGGAAGATCCCCTGGAGGGGCTATCGCAACCCACTCCAGTATTCTTGCCTAGAGAATCCCCATGGACAGAGGAGCCAGGCAGGCTACAGCCCATGGGGTCACAAAGAGACGGATAGACTGAGCCACTAAGCACAGTGCAGTTAAAGGACCTCATGGTAGGCACTAGTTTTCTCCAGTTTTCCTTTTTGAAGAAGGGGGCTGTACTATGTGAACCCTATAGTTGAATCTAGCCTTAACCATCTTTACAAGAAGCCAGCATGGTTCGGGCAGTGGCATGGTTCGGGCAGTGGCATGGTTCAGCCAACTTGGCCCTGGATTGCTTCTAACTCTTTGACCTCCAGGAATACCACCCCATGTTAAGAAGCAAGGATGTTAGGGCTCCTCCAATGCCAGGGGAAGTTAACACCTGATCAGTTTCCTCCTGCTCAGTGCCTGCAGGTGAGAGCCCACTGCATTATTGGAGCCCGCCCCCCACCCCTCTTGTTTGTATTAGAGCCTCCAGAGTCACCATTCCCTTGCTGGGTAGCACAGAACTGACTCCCCCACAACCCTTCCTGGGGAGGTTGAGGGAGATGGCTGCCTTGGTGTACTCTGTAGTTACCATTAGGGTCTGTGTGTGCATTAAACCAAGGACCCAGTCGATTGGCTACCAAGGGACAGTCCTGGGAAGGAAGGGGTAGGGACTAGCCTATTTTATCTCCAGGATGTGCCAGTCACAAGGAACTCATTTTCTTATCATCTCATTTCTCATCTGTTATACAAATGGGGCAACTGAAGCCCATAGAGGTTAAGCAACTTGTCCAAGGTCCCCATTTAATAAGGGGACTTGAACTCTGGATGCCCTGTTGTCCAGCATGGCTTTTTCCTGGAGGAAACGGATTGAAGTAACTGAGAACGGGAGGGATAGAGATGGGCTGTTGGGGAGAAACTGGGAGTAAATGTGCCAAGGGGAAAGGGAGGAGTCCCTTCATACCTCCCCCCTCCCCCCAGGCAGGTTTCCCACTACAGGTTTGCACCCTCAGTAGCCCCTAACGAAGAGCTGACCCCAGCTCTTAAAAGGGCCACCTTGTGGAACAAGTCCACTTAATGACCACAGTAGAAAGAAAAAGGCGATGAGCTTCCCAATCTGCAGTGACTGACTGATTTGATGTCCTTTGCTAATACAGTCAGGGGCAGCTTCTCCAGCACTGACTAGTAATCCAGAAGCTCTAAGGTTTTAGTGAATGGGACTGGTCCAAAACCTGACCTCACTTTCATTTAATTTCATGCCAGCACCAATACACACCCAGCCGGCGCAGACCCTAACTAGGGAGCTGCTCAGACACAAAGGCACTCTAATTACCATCCATAAGCCAGGCCTGACAAGGATTTCAAGTGTTTCATGTTTATGGAGATCAGAGAAATGTGTTCTGTGCATCTTTCCCACAGACAAGTATAAAATAAAACCAAACAAAAAACCCAACACATTTATTAAAAACAGATATTTCAGTTAAGTTAACATCCTATAATCAGGATAGCCACAATTCCAAACACTCCGGTGCGAAGTGTAGGTATGTCAATAGCCACATCTGGATGACGAACATGCCATTGAATCTTATAAAACTAAAACATCAACAATACCGTCTTAGAGCCTTTAGACTGCGTTAACGTTGTGTTACGAGCACTTCACCAGGTTCACAATGGCAAATCCTGCAGCTTCTCCATTCGGAGGGTCACATTTTTTTACTCGGTTTCCTTCACTTACAAAGGCAAGCTGGCACGGCTGGGGGGAGGGGCAGAGGGAGGAAATCAACTCCATCTATCCAGGGAATTGCAGCTGTTATTGCAAATGGCCCCGGAGAGCCCATTATAAGCTGCTGCGCTAGGCGGTGTGTCCCTGGAGTGCCCCATCACGTGGTGTCTCCCAGCCCCCAGCCTGGGCCCCCAGGAGCGGCAGCGCCACCAGCTAGAGTTGGACAGCAGGGCGGAGGGGAAGAGGAGGGACTCGAGGCCACTTCTCCGGGCAGTTTCCGTGAAAGCCCGGGGCGCGGCCGCCCGCAGGAGGCACCGGCGCCTAGCACGTCGCCACCTCCCTCAACCCGCGGTGGCAGCGGTGCCCGTGTCCTCAGGAGACTCCAGCACTTGCAAAACACCGCGCACTACTCCGAGTACAGGCAGAACCGGGCGACTCTGTCCTGCTAGAGCCCCGCAATCTCGTTTGCGCCCAGGAAATGGTGACCTTGAACCCGAGGAGGGGCGGACAGACTGAAAACACACATTCAAGAGGACGGCGGGTTCTCTCAGCGCCGCGTCCTCACCTTTCCCCAGGACCTCTAACCCCCACGTCCAATTAGCATCCCAGGTGCTCCGCCTGCCCCCGCCGCTCTGAGAAACGCCGACGGTAGCAAAGCGGGTGGGGGTGGGAGTGTGCAGAGAAAAGGTTACTTCTATTCAGCTCTCCAAAAGGTCCTTTCACGGTGCCGCGTGTTTTATACCAAGAACAAGCACCTCAAAACACACGAGATAGGTGTTGTTTTTTTTTTAAGTGTTGTAAAATTTCAAGTCGGGCAGTTTGAGGTACTCCCTTAAATGATCTACAAATGTTCCCCTCTCCTAAAGTGAATCAGGAACCAGCCTTGGAAAGGTAAAGCAAGTAACTGGGATCATCCTTGTCCTTTGGGCGCTCCGCGATCCTGAGAAGCATGGGCTCTGGCCACATGGTTGCCGGGCTGGAGGACCCCAGAGGCTGCGTGGAACCGCACGCTGCGCCACCGGGGCTGGTCACACCAATGAGGAGTCCTCGTGACTGCGAGCTTAGGGTACACTCTGTAATCTGCCTTCAGTGGGACCAACGAACCCAACCACGTTGGGGCCCTCGACCTCAGTTCTCGCGAACACATTCTCAATTTTTCGATTCCTCATCTTCACATAAGGTATTTTCCCGCCTCCAGAAGTGCGACTTCACCAGTTTGAGTAGAGACATAGCCCTCAGGGGAACCCCTTGCCCTTCAGGCAGAGGCTGGCTCAGTGGCCACTCTCGAGGTGTTAGCTGCCGGGGACTAGAACGCTGTCGCCTGTTCTGAGCTGCGCCCTCCTCCCGGACGCGCCGGGGTCGCTGCAGGCCGCGCGAGGGCTGCGGGGCGAAAGGGGCTCATGCACTGGGGCCGACAGAGGGCCCAGGAGCTGGCGCTGGGGGAGCTTTGCGTGCAATTGCAGCCGTCGCGAATGAAGCCTCCGCACGGCCTCCTTGATGAGGTTCCCCGAGAGCACCAACTGCTGCAGAAGCCGGTGCGGGTCGTCGTCGCCGTTGCGGGCTGGAGGCTGTAGCCCGCGTCGGTGCTGGAGGCGGCGGGAAGCGGCGGCGTCCCGCAGCCAACCTCGCCGGCAAGGGCCCGACAGCGGCTGCGGGGAGCCCCGCTTGTCTGCTCCCAAAGGCCCATCAAGGCTGGGCTGAGGGGGCAATGGGGACAGTGCGCTGGGGCCTGCGGCAAGCTCGGCCACAAAGTAGGGCGCAGCGCGGCCCCGCACGCGGCCGCGGTCCCCGAGGGCACAGCGCCAGGACCCCGGGGGCGCTGGACCCCCAGCCTCGACCGACGCGGCCGGTAGAAGCAGCGGCTGCGCTGGGGACCGGGCCTTGTCCGCTCGCACCGCCGCCGGGGGCCGCGGGGGCTGCAGTGGCGGCCCCGGGGGCGCGCACGCGGAGGCAGGGCGGTCCCGCGCCGCGTCCAGCTGCAGCGTCTCGCCGATCTGGGCCACCAGCCGGTCCACCTCAACCGAGCCGCCCACAGTCACCGACTGTTCCAGCAGTAGGAAGCTGTCCTCCTCCTCCTCCTCTTCCTCGCCGGCTTCCTCTTCCTCCTCCCTCCGGCACGGCATGGCCCCCCTCGCCGGTACCCGGAGCTGTGCGGGAGTCGTTGGCGGCTCGGCTCTCCCGGGGGCTCGGTGGGCCGCGGCGGAGCCGGGCGCGGTGCCGAGGCCGAAGCCGGAGCCCGGGCGGACGCGGAAGCCGGAGCCCGCCAGGCACTCGCGCCGCGCGCCTGCAGCCGCGGGAGCCGGAATCCTACCGGCTCGGGTTGATTTGTAAACAATGGGTGACGTCGCCGCCGGGCCCTACCACCGCGCCGGGGAGGGGTGCTCCGTACCTTTGGGGGCCGGGGCAGCCTCTGGGCAAGGGTCCTGGGTGAAGCCTTGCTGCATTTGAGCTTTATAACCCTGAATGCTGTCTGCGGGAGGGACTGGGGAGCCGATCCTCGCTCTCTGAGCCTGGCATGATTGACATTTCCAGAAGATGGACACCGGCGTGGCCTCTGTTGGTTTCTTCCACACACAAGCACAGACACTTCCACCCACACACCCACACACTTCTCTAGGCGCGTCAACTTGTCTGGTTTTGGCATTTACGCCTTTGAGGTTAGGGATGCCGGCATTTGGGAAGTGATGGCAGCGTGAGTGAGGCGAGTGATGGAGAGAAGGCGTCAGGCTAGGGATCTGTCTGCAGATTAGGGAAACGAGGCTGACAGATGAAAAGGAAGAAGGGGACCCTGTGGTGCGATGGGGGTGGCGGATTGGAAATTGGCAAAGAAAAGCCACTGATGAATGTGTTTTTTGATCTGGAGCGTGGGTATGTGGGGACCTGGACAGGGACTGGAGGGGAGGTTGCTCGTCTTGGGAGGGGCGGCGAGCTAGAAAGTTCTTTTAAGAAGAATGCCTCAAACCAGTAGGGGAGTATCCTTTCTGAGGGGGGTAGCAGGAGAGGAAAATGGTCAGCTATTTGGATGGAAATGGAGACACGGCCAAGGTAACCCTCCAAGATATCGTGGTTGGCTTAATGACTAACCAAGACTTCAGTTTTTAAAAGAAAGAGAGATAGAAAACGATCCTTTATCACCATATTGTTTGGAGTCTTAAAACCTGTATTCAAAATCCCAAACCCCTCAGGCCTAACTTCCGAACACTAATTACCCTTGTAGGTAGATTTCTGGTGGACCAACATTTATAGGGGAGGGATAGTGACAGGATGATTGAAATATTCCAAAACTGGGTTATGGTAATGGTTGCACAACTCGGTAAATTTTCTAGAAATCATTTATTTAAAAAAAATTTATTTTTAATTTAATCTTTGACTCAATGGACCCGAGTTTGAGCAAATTCCAGGAGATAGCGAAGGACAGGGAAGCCTGGTGTTCTGGAGTTCTTGGGGTTGTGACGAGTTGGACATAACCTAGCGACTGAACAATTTCTCATAGAAGAAAAATAGCTTTACAATACTATGTTGGTTTCTACCATACATCAACATAAGTCATCCACAGGTATACATATGCCCCCTCCCTCTTGAGCCTCCCTCCCACTTTCCACCCCATCTCACTGCTCTAGATTGTCACAGAGTGATTTGAGCTCCCTGAGTCCTACAGCAAATTCCCAATGGCTGTTTTATATATGGTAATGTATATGTTTTCATGCCACTCTCTCCATTAGTCCCACTCTCTCCTTCCCCCATGTGTCCAAAGTCTCTTCTCTATGTATGTGTTTCTATTGCTGCCCTACAAGTAGATTCATCAGTGCCATTTTTCCAGATTCCATATGTATGTGTTAATATACAATATTTATTTTTCTCTTTCTGACTTACTTCACTTTTTATAATAGGCGATAGGTTCGTCCACCTCATTAGAATGGACTCAAATGCATTCCTTTTTATAGGTGAGTAATATTCCATTGTGTGTATGTTCCACAACTTCTTTATTCATTCATCTGTCAGTGGACATCTGGATTGCTTCTATGTTGCTTCTATGTCCTAGCTATTGTAAATAGTGCTGCAATGAACACTGGGGTACATGTGTGTTTTTCAGTTATGGTATTTCCTCAGGGTATATGCCCAGTAATGGGATTGCTGGGTCTTTGGTAGTTTTATTCCTAGTTTTTTTTTTAAGGAATCTCCATACTGTTCTATTAGTGGCTGTATCAATTTGCATTCCCACCAACAGTGCAAGAGGTTTCCCTTTTCTCCACACCCTCTCCAGCTTTTATTGTTTGTAGACTTTCAAATGATGGCCATTCTGACCAGTGTGAGGTGATACCACATTGTAGTTTTGATTTGCATTTCTCTAATAATGAGTGATGCTGAGCATCTTTTCATGTGTTTATTAGCCATCTGTGTGTCTTTGGAGAAATGTCTGTTTAGGTCTTCTGCCCACTTTTTGATTAGGTTCTTTGTTTTTCTGGCATTGAGTTGCATGAGATGCTTGTATATTTTGGAGATTAATCCTTTGTCAATTGTTTCCTTTGCTATTATTTTCTCCCATTCTGAGGGTAAAAACTCATTTAAGTGAAAGAGTTTTGTGCATGTAAATTACATGTCTATAAAGCTGTTTTAACAATTAGCCACAAAGTATACACATACAAACACAGAAGCCAGGCAGTAGAGAACTACTTCAAAATATGGAGCAGGAGACTAGCATTATTTGGAAAGAGACTGGAGCCTGGGGATCCAGGTAAGTAGAAACAAGGGTCTTGGTGGGCAGTTCCAAGATGATAATAACAGGAGCAAACCTTTAGGGAGGAGTGGGATGGAGGGAAGAGGTGGGAAGTTGTTAAAAAAGAGTTGGGCTTATTTTTGTCAAGTTTGGAGGCAAGAATGTGAGAATAAAGGAAGAGGCAGTATGAAGAAAGCAAATGAATTTTTAAATCTTGGAATTCTGGACTTCTACAGGATGTCTTAAAAATCATCACCATATTTTAGTGGATTTCTTAGGATTTTCTGTATACAAGATCATATCATCTGCAGACAGATGAAGGTTTACTTCTTTCTTTCTAATCTGGATGGCTTTTGTTTTTCCTGCCTAAGTCTCTGGCTGAAACCTCTAGAACAAGGTTGAAGAGAAGTGGTGAGGGCAGACATCCTTGTCTTGTTCCTGATCTTAAGGGAAAGTATTCAGTCTTTTACTATTAAGTATGATGTTGGCTCTGGGTTTTCATAAATGGCCTTTCTTAGGTTGGGGGTGTTCCCTTCTTTTTCTCATTTGTTGAGCATTTTTTATTATGAATGCATCATTTCTCTTTATCTTTACTTGAGTTATAATTGACATATACCTTATGTAAATTGAAGACATTCCCTCGTTTATAATCATTAGTCATTTGAGAGTGGTCAGCGCAGCCAGTTATTAGCTAGAATATTCTGAACTTAATTAAAATTTTAAAATGAAAATAATTAGCAGCAGTTTAGGATTTTTGTTTTGATTTTTTTGGTTCAAAATATTGTAAGTCTCATGCATCATTGTGTATGTGAAAATGGTAAAACCACTTTGGGAAAAGGTCTGGCAGTTTCTTACAAAACTAAACATACACCTGCCCTATGATATAACTCCAAAGCTAGATATTTACCTAAGAGAAATGAAATCATAGGTCCATGTCAAGGCCTATAGGCAGATGAATATAGCAGCTTTATTCATAAAAGCCATAAATTGGAAAGTGTATAAGTGATTTATCAACAGGTAAATGGATAAAGTATAGCACATTCACATGATGATGGTGACAAAATACTCTTCAGCAACAAAAAGGGCTGGAGTATCGCTACAGGCAGTAACATGAATGAACCTCAAAAACAGTATGGTAATTGGACTTCCCTGGTGGTCCAGTGGCTAAGGTGCCATGCTCCCAATGCAGGGGGTCCTGGGTTTGATCTTTGGTTAGGGAACTAGATTCCACATACCACAACTAAAGATTCTGCAAGCCACAATGAAGATTGAAGATCCCAAGCGCCACAACCAGGATCCAGTGCAGCCAAATAAATAAAGGTTTAAAAAACAAAAACAGTATGCTAACTGAAAGAAGCCAGACAAAAAAGAGCATATATGGCTTAATCCTCCTTATATGAAGTTCCAGAACAAGTAAAATTAATTTATGAAAACTGATTGCCTTTGGAGAGGTTGGGGCAGTAGCAGGGACTGACTTGGAAGAGCCCTGAAGGAGATTCAGGGCATGGTGGGAATGTTCTGTATCTTGATATCTTGATTCCAGGTTTCCCAGGAAACTCATTGAATCCTACACTTAGAATTCATTGTATGTAAATTTTACGTGAAAAGAAAAAACTGTTCACAAATATTGATTTCTAGTTAATAGACACGCTGGGTGAGGTATACTGATGTTTGCTGTTTATTCTCAAGTGCCCAAAACCTTGAGATGGATTGATACATAGATAGAAGGATGGTTAGGACAGGTAGGTGTATGATAAAGCATGTATAGTGACATGCTAATGTCACTGTATAATCGAGCAATTCCAGTCCTAGGTATATATGTGGGAAATTTGAAAACATAGTCATTCAAAAATTTGTACCCAAGTGTTTCAGCAGCATTATTCATAATAACCTCAAAGTAGAATAACCTAAATATTCAGCAGCTAATGAATGGATGAATAAAATGCTATCTATTCATACAGTGGAATATAATTTATCATACAAGGTATGAAATACTGTTATATGCTATAGTGTGGTGAACCTGTATACAGTATGGGTGAAAGAGTTGGACATGACTGAGCAACTGAACTGACTGATGGGTGAACCTTGAAGACAAAAGTGAAAGAAACTAGACACAAAAGGCCACCTATTGTATGATTCCATTTATATGAAATTTCCAGAATAAACAAATCTGTACAGACAGAAAGTGAATTAGTCAGAGGTTGGGAAGAGATGGGAATTAAGACTAATTGATGATGGGCATTAGATTTCTTTTTTCCCATTTATTTTTATTAGTTGGAGGCTAATTACTTTACAATATTGTAGTGGTTTTTGCCATACATTGACATGAATCAACCATGGACTTACATGTATTCCCCATCCCGATCCCCCCTCCCTAGATTTCTTTTGAGGTGACAAAAATGTTCT